ACTGGGCTGAACTGAAAGCCCAGATGTAAATTCTAGGAATTTGGATCTGACCTTTAATGGCCCAATGCTGCACAGCGCTTACAGGGCGGCTTTTCCTGGTTAATCTCAGAGCGCTGACAATGGTGGGTCAGTGTTATAGACCCTGTGACTGATGCTCTCGAAGGGAGTGTTCCTCTAGTGCTCAGTGCAGGGCCTGGACACAGGACTCCTGGCTCCATCCCCGGCTCTGTCACTGGCTCCCAGTGCGACCCTGAGGCAGTGACTCCCCTGCCCAGGCCACAGTTTCCCATCAGGGGGGTTGAGGTCCCGCCCCTACAGCCCAAGACTTGTCAGGCGTCAGGAATGTGTGTAAGGTGCTGGCAGACCGTGAGCTGGGAGTAGGCCGTGAGCTGCCTGCAGTAGGTCCGTGTTCTGGACCCCGGCTGCTGGCCTGAGTTTCTCCATCCCTCGGCAATAAAACATCATCTCGTTTTCACAGCCACGGTCGGTCTCCCGGTTTCTACACCCGGCCCTGTTGGCAGGGCATTGCACCGCCCAGCGCAGCACCTTTTCCAGCTCACATCGCGGCGGGAAAGTGAGGAAGAGGGCCAGGGACTGACCAACTGGGACATCTGCCACCCAGCTCAACGCCACCTAGAGCAAGTGAGTGGCACGTAGCACATCCTCAGGGGCTTCTCTGTTCTGCTTGGGGAGGGGCAGAAATGGGGGGAATCTCCTCGCAGAGAGACTAGATTTGCTAACACAGCCCCGTGCAATCCTTCGCTCTGGGCCTGGGCAGCACGTTTCCTGCCGCGTGTTCTCCAGAGCCATCTCCAGCGTGGGGGAAATGTCCCAGCAATGGGGCTCCCGGCCTCCCCTTGTAGGAGACTCTCAGGGAGCCAGACCCTGCTGCTGAACACCCAGAACCCCAGTCAATGAAATCAGTGAGAACTGGGGGGGCTCAGGCCTCATGTGACTGGGACCTTGTGAACTTTAGCTGGGGGTTCCCAGGACAAGCTCAGCCTCCTTCTCGGGTTCTGTTCTTTCTCCAGCCTGGCAGGGAGTGTGGCCTGGGGCGGGGGTGGGGCGGGGGGAGCTGCTGGTCCAAACTCACTGCAAACCCCACTGCTCTGACAGGATGAGACTCCCCCGGTGTCCCAGTGCCTCAGTGGGGAGAGTTGGGAGCAGCCTGTCCTGGGAGCTCCTGCCCGTGTGTGCAGATTGCAGTCCCTGGGCCCCGGGGTGGGGCGAGCGCTATGGGGGAGTTGCCCCAGTGGAGGAGAGGGGGGAGCAGGGAGACCTGTTAGGCTAGGTCTACACTACCCGCCTGAATCGGCGGGTAGAAATCGACTTCTCGGGGATCGATTTATCGCGTCCCGTTGGGACGCGACAATCGATCCCCAAATCGGCGCTCTTACTCCACCAGGGGAGGTGGGAGTAAGCGCCGTCGACAGAAAGCCACAGAAGTCGATTTTGCCGCCGTCCTCACAGCGGGGTAAGTCGGCTGCGATACGTCAAATTCAGCTACGCTATTCACGTAGCTGAATTTGCGTATCTTAAATCGACTCCCCCCTGTGGTGTAGATGTAGCCTTAGTGAGAGGCTGCCTTGACCCCAGACTCACGGCTGCTCCCCGCTCAGTTCCTGGATGGAGAGGCTCAGGCGGATGCTGGGGAAGGAGGCTGTGAAGGTGGCTCCAGGGCCATTGGAAGCCACTGCCGGCTGCCCCAGGAGGAGAGCGGCGCCTCTGGCCCCGCTGGGGGGACGCAGGCTCTGGCCTGGCCAAGAGGGGGAAGTGCCTGGCGATCTGCAGGAGGGAGACACCAGCTCCCAGAGCAGGCCCTGAGGCACCTTCTGGGCCAACATGGAGGTGGCCCAGGGTGCAGCTGTGCGGGAGGGACCCAGGCCAGGGCGGAGCCGGGCACGGCGGCTCTGGGGCTTCCTCTACAGGAAGCAGAGGAGCCAGGAGCCCAGCCCCAGGGCCCAGCAGGGGCCGTCCCCCTGCCTGGCCCCTGGAGAGCCCCCAGCCTGCCCAGAGCAGGAGATGGGTGACCCCGGCTCCAGCACCAGCAGCTCCGCCTGCTCCCGAGGGGCCAGCAGCTGCCGCGCAGTGGAGTGTGAGTGCGCGGAGGCTGAAGGCTCCCCCAGGGCAGGTGAGGGGAGACACCGGGGAAGGGAGGAGGACGGGGGGGCTAGTAACACCCGGCGCACGTCGGTTCACCAAGGCGTCAGGCCTGAGGCACGTGAGCCCCCCTGACACTCAGAGAAGCTGACAGCGTCCAGCGGGCAGAACTGGGCACTGCCGGACGGAGGTTCCTTCAGGGGTGTCTGGGACCGGAGATATCGGCTAGTGTCAGTCAGTTGCACAGTCCAAGCAGCGGCTGCCCAAAGTGCTCACTCCCGGAGCTGGGAGCAGTCACACGCCAGAGGCTGTGGGGGAACAGCCCAGGAGTGGGGGTGTCACAGCGGAGCAGGGTGAGGCTGGCTCCCAGAGTCAGGGATTGGAGTGACTGAGCAGTAGGGGGAGCAGATGTCCAGATTTTATAGGGACAGTCCCAATATTTGGGGCTTTGTGTTCTATAGGTTCCTATTACCCACCACTCCCTATCCCGATTTTTCACAGTTGCTGTCTGGTCACCCTACCTAGCAGATCACCGGTCCAGATAACACCAGGGGAACATCACAGGCTGGTTTGTGGTTCTGTGTTTATTACAAATCTGGAGATTAACAGGATGCAAAATAACACAAACAGCCGCCTCGGCGCATCCCCTCCCCCTCCCAGTGCTGAACCCCCTGGCCTCCCACTTGTGGGGCTGGTTGGGGCAGCACCAGCTGGAGGGAGGGCTACGGGAGGGCTATAAGCCTCTTCTTTGAGGTGGGAAAATCAATCCCTCACCCCATGGTGGCCGACGCTCCGTGCCCTGTTGCTCCAGTGACTCCCCCCGGGTTCACACTATGAGGGTGGGTGAGGGGCGCCACTGCACCCCAGGGGCTCTGCCCATGAGGCCCCTGGCTCACATTGATGGCGGAGTACAGGACGGGCTCGGGGGCAGGGGATGGGCCACCCTGCTTGGCCTGCAGCGCCTGGCGGTCCAGCTCGGCGTAGGTGAGTCCGTCGGCGCCGGGGTCGGGCTCCTGGGGCTGGGCGAGGAGAGAGACACCGGTGTGTGTGTGTGTGTGTGTGTGTGTGTGTGTGTGT